TATTATTTTAATAAATATAAATATTTAAAAATAAAAAATTATTTAATTATTTCGGTTGTTTTTTTTTTTCTTTAATTATTTTTGAATGAATGTACACCAAGTATAATAGTAGCAAACTTCTATTTAGGAAGAAATTCGCCGTGGAAATAGTGACTTTCTCTCTGTCCGTGAAAAAAACCTCTTACAAATCTTTATATTGTATTTGGCGGATTAGGACAATCTTTCATGTAAATTGTTCAAATGATAAATAATTTTGTAAAAACGAACGACCAAAACTCCAAACTTATGGTAGTCAAAAAAAAAAAAAACTGAAAAACTAAAAAAAATTAAAAAAAAAAATTTTGAAGAAATTTTGTAAAAAAATAAGTTCAAAATATAAAAAAAAAATAAATAAAAAAATATACAAATAATTATTTTATTATTACTACTTTATAACAAAAAAAAAAAATAATCGAATTTTTTTTTTTTTTTTTTTTTTTATCTATACAAAAGTAGTTATAGTTTTTATTTTAATTTTTAAAAGGGATTTAAAATTTAGTTGACTGTTAAAAATTTAACACGAATAAATTGGGAGCCTATTCTAGTGTTGTCTAAATTTTGTTGAGCAACTAAAGCATTTTCTATATTATTAAAAGTAACAAAACATTTTGATTTTCCATTATTTGGATTTATATTTATCTATAAAGAGAGAATTATATTAATATTTGGTTTTATAATTTTTCTTTAATTTATATTAAATAAATATACTTACATTTATGCTCTTTAAATCTCCGTATTTTGAAAAAATATTAATTAAATAAGAATTTTCTAAGGTACCTTTATATGTACAAATTAAAATTGAACCGGCGTTTATATTGTTTGTATTTTTTGATGATCTTTCTCTTGGCGAAATTTGTGGCGAGTTTGATGGTGAGTGATGTGGTTGTGGTTGGGTTTGTGGTAAAGAGTATACAATAGTTGGTTGTTGTGGATGGTGGTGATGGTGATAGTAATATTGTGGGGTTTGTGGATGGTGATATATGTAATAGTTTGATTCATTTTGGCTCCAATTTGCTGGAGCTGGTGCATGGTGTACTTGATATATTGGTGGAGATGAATTTGGTGATGAAGAAATTATTATTGGTTCATTTGAATAAATTTGTGGGTAATAGCTATTTGGATAAGTATTTGAGTTGTATTCCTAAAAATGATAAAATATTAATTAATATATATTTAAAAATTATTTTATGTATATTTTTTAACAAAACTTACTTGTGTATAATAGCCTGAATATGGTTCATTTTGGTAAATATAGGTATATTGTGGAACTTGTGGGATTGGTTGTGGCTGTGGGGAAGATGAACGTTGTGGTGGAATTGGTAATGGTTGTGGTGATGATGAATGTTGTGGTGGAATTGGTAATGGTTGTGGTGATGGTGAACGTTGTGGTGATTGTTGAATAGATGATGAAGATGAAATCGACGACATTGATGGACTTGAAGTTATTGTTGGTGATACTGAACCATTTATTGAATTTATTGATGATGTTGAGCCTGATAATGAAAGATGAGGAATTTGTTGAATTTGTTTTTTATTTGGTGCATATTTAACTAGTGGTTTAAAAAAAAAAAAAAAAAAATTAATATTTTTAAAATAATGGTTAAAATTAACAACAATACATACCAACTAAAGGAGTTTCACCTAAAATTAATGAACCAGACATATTTTGAAGAGCATTAATTGAATGTTGAATATTTGAAAATCTAATAACACCAGCTCTTTTACTTTTACCTGAATTTGTATCAATTAAAACTTGAGCCTCGGCAACCTCACCGAATTGGCAGAAAGTTTGTTTAAGAATAGCATCAGTTATAGTTGGTGATAAGACTCTAACATAAAGAGTATTTGATGGTTCTCTTTGTTGTTCAGATGTTGGTGATGATGGTTCATGTGAACATCCATTTGGATAGGGTGAAACTGGTGGTGAATTTGATGGTTTTGATAATTTACAAAGTAAAGTTTTATATCCAATTTGATGTCTATTCATATGTTTGATTGCTTCTTGAGCGTCCTCTGGATTTGAAAATCTAACAAATCTATTATAAAAAAAAAAACTATTAATATAAAAAACTATAGTTATTAATATTTAAAATCCATTAACCTACCCATAACCTAAGCTATTACCAGTTTTAATATTAACCATTACTTTGGTGTTAACGATTTCACCATATTTTTCAAATAGCTCGTGTAAATCTTAAATTAAAAAAAAAAATATTAGAAAAAATAATAAATAATTTATATTTAAAAAAATAATTACCTGCTTCGTTAAAATTACATGGTAAGTATTTAACGAATACATTGCAAATATCGACTTCTGATTCATCAAAATCTTGACTAATAATTGATTCTACTTCCATTTTCATATTTAATATCTATAGGTAGTAAGGTTTATTTATTTATTTATATTTTATATTATTTTAAGTTATTATTGTAAATTATTTTTATTATAATTGATTTATAAATTGAATAATTAAGTTTTTTATGAAGATATGATTTTACTATTGATTATTTATTATAATATTTTTTTGATTTTTTTTAAAAAAAGAATTTTGGTTAATATACAATTTAATTACTATAATACATTATGATAAAAAAAATAATAAAAAAAAAAAATTTAACCATCTAGTATTCAATTATAAAAAAAAAAAAAAAAAAAATATAATAAAAAAAATAAATATAAAAAAATAATTTAAAAAAAAAAGTGTCACTATTTACTAATGATTGGTAAATGAAAAAATCTTTTTTCTGTGCTGTACTATAAAGAAGTCAATAGAGGTGCAAAAAACACTAGAAAAAAATAAAATAAAAATAAAAAATAAATTATTTTTTTATACCAATGTAAACTAGTGAATCTATTGGTTAAAATTTTCGATTGGAGAAATAAACAAAATATTTTCTATTGGTGTGCTATACCTATGGAGAACACTTTTTTATAAAAAAAATCTGACGATCACCCCTCCAGGTATATAGTTTTATAGGTTTAAGCCTATATACACCAAACATTCGACCAATCTGTCCCAATCAAAAAGAAAAATATCTTGTTCTACTGAAAAAAACCCACACAATCATTTAAAAAAAATATTTTTCAGAAAAAAAAAACCCAACAACGACGAAAATCTTTAAAATTAAGAAAAATTGTGACAAAAGAAAGTGATGGGTCCAACAATAAGAACGAGTGCCCCAAAAAAAAAAAAAAAAAAAAATGGTTTTTTTTTTATTTTTTTAAAATAAAAATTTTTCTAACTTTTTTTTTTTTTTTTTTTTTTTTTTGAAAAATAATTGCAAAAATTAAACAAAATAAAATACAAAAAAATAGAAAAAAAATTTTAGATAAAACGAGGGGTTAATCTAATATTTACTATTCTTTTTGGCAGTAGGGTTTTTTTCCTTTTTTTTTTTTTTCTTAATTTCTAAAAAAAAGACTTTTTAAATTCTTAAAAACACAACAATAACAGCAATAACAAAAAATGGTGTATGTAATGAGTATTTTACTAACAGATTTTTAAATTGATTGAAAGTTGTTATTGGTTATTTTAAATGGATATTTAAACAATATATTTATAAAGTAGTGTTATACTGGTGATTGATTGATTTACTTTTTAAGAAGAAGTAGATTTATTTATTTGAAAAAAAAAAAAAATAGAAAAAGAAAAGTAATTTGTTTGGAAAAAAAAAAATAAAAAAAAAACTATGTGTGAAATATTTAATACTATAAAAATATTATTTATTATTATTCGATTGGGTTTATATGTTTGGTTGTGAAACTAATAAAAAAACTATTATTTTTTATTTTATACAGGTTTCTAAAAATATTTTTTTTGAATTTTAAAATAAAAAAAAATAATAAAAAAATCAAATTAATTAAAAAAAAAACCTTGAAAAAAAAAACATATAAGTTATTAAAAGAAACAAGGTACAGAAAAAAAATAGATATCTCTTGATATCAAAAATAATCGAAACAGTTATTGTGTAAATGAAAATAAATAAAAACAACGTAAATCGATATCAAATCTAGGCACTATCGAGATTCGGTTGTGAAAAATTAAAAAAAATTTTTTTTTAAAAATAAAAAAAAACAAAAAATATATGTTGATGGTTGATATTATAGATTAATCTATAATAAAATATTAATAAAGAGTTTGATTGTATAATGGTTTTTAAATGAAAGTAAAAACAAATATAAAAAATAAATAAAATAAAAAAACTGTTACTGGTAGTTGGGAAAAAAAAATAAATAAATACCTATTAATAAAACTATTGGCTGTTGCTTGTGAATTTAAAACTTTTTAGAGATCTATGAAATCTATTAATGTTTCTATTTTGTTGTTATAATTGTAGTTGTTAGATATTTTTTTTAAAAAAAAAAGTTATTAATATTTAAGAAAAAAAAAAATAAAAAAAAAAAGATATAAAAAAAATTTAGTTATTATTATTTATTAAAGTGAGATATGAGATATATATTTATTTGTATTATTAAAGAAAAAGATGTTAATGATTTAGTGATGGTTTTCTTTTTTTTTTTTTATTAAAATTTAGAAAAATAATATGAAAAAAAAAAAAATTATATTTTAAATAAAAAAATATTTATTGGTCGAATGGATTGCAAATTTGATAATACCATTTTGGAACATCATTTGGTTTGGTGAATTATTTTAATTTATTTTTTCTTTTTTTTTTATTTTCAGATACAAAAATGCTATTTATGCATCCTACTATAAATAACACACGACAAAAAAAAAATAAAAAATAAAAAAAAATAAAAATTTTATTTTTTTTTTAAAAAAACGAAAGCACTATGGAGAAAAGAAAGCGAAAATTAAAAAATCTATCTTGACGACGTAATAATCGATAAAATAAGGTTTTTTAAAACACAACACAAAAATAAATAAAAAAATTTTAAAAAAAAAGTGAATGAGTGAAATAAATAGATATAGATATATTTTACCTTTGAATTATTATAATAATAAAAAAAATTGATTATTGAGTGTTTTTTGGTTATTGAAAAAAAATTGAATGATATGATTGTTAGCAGTCAATTTATAAGGGGGTGATTATTAAAAAATGAAAAATAATATGAGAAAGAATGAAAAGATTTATAATAAAATAGTTTATTAAAAAAAAAAAAAACGATAGAATGTCTGTATGGGGAGAATGTGATGATAATATATTGAAAATTAATATGAAAAGAAATATTTGATATTTAGGTTTATTTATATTGGTGGAGGCTATTGTTATTATTATTTATTTTTAGATATATAAATAATTTATTTAGTTTGAACGAAAGGAAAATGAATTTATTATTTTTTTTTTTTTTCTCTTGTTTATATACTAAAAAAGATTTCCAACTGGTATTTTTTTTTTAAAAAAAAATAAATATTATTTATTTATTTATTATTTTTTTCTTTAATGCAGCTGTATCACAAAAAAAAAAAAGTGGATAACTACCAGCGAAAATCATTCTTAAGGTGATGAGTATAACTAAATCATCATATAGATCTATAGTGTTGTTTTTTGTTTTTTTTTAGGTGTATGAAAAGTGTGTGTGTGTGTTGTTTGTGTGTGTTGTTATTTGGTAAAAAAAAAAAGTGTGTATCTTTTTCTAAACGGCTCTTCCAAAAGAATCGTTTTTTTTTTTCAATTAAAAGAAGAGCTCTTATTGAATCTATTTTAACCACTTTTTGCCCAATAATTCAATTTCAATATTGAAGGCAAAAATAGCATCATAAAAATATTTCCCCTTTAATATTTTTACTGTGCTCTAAAACCCAAAAATAAATTAAAAAAAATAAAATAAAATTAAAAAAAAATTAAATTTTTTTTTTAATTTTAAAACAATCACAAAAAAAAAAAATACAATGAACTGTAGGTTGTATGTGGGTGTGCTGATTAAAATAAACTATTTTTTTTAGAAATAAATATTGTCATTGATGGGTCGATAATTTTAAATTTTCTGAATTGTTTTTATTTTTTATTTTTTTTAGATATACAACAAAAATTTACCCATTACAATATTATTTTTTATTTTTTTTTTTTAAAAACAACACAATACAAAATCACAAAATTATTTTTATTGGTAAATCTATTTTTTTATTTTTTATTTTTTTTCTTGATCCCAAAAATCCAAAATAGGTGTGATACAAATATAGGGAGTTATATTGGGGGACAGTGGTTATTATAAAGTGTGTGGTTAATATAAAGTGTCCACATGTATAATTAAATACAATATAAAAAAACAACCAATAGATTCATTGAAACTGTTTAATATTTACGTACTTTTTATAAAAGATATTTTTATATATCTCGTTTTTTTTTTTTTTTCGTAATTTCAGTTGTGTTAATATTTCGCAATTTAGATTGTGAGATGTGGGTGTGTGTGAAATAACTGCTTTTAATTTATTTTATTATTTTATTATTTTATTATTTATTATTTTATTATTATAATTACTAAAGTAGCGTTTATTTTTATATTAAAGACGAAACAAAAAAAAATAGTTAAATTTAATTTTACTTAAATATAAAATTAAAATTAATATTTTACATATAAATTATACC